TAAAAAAGAATATATATACAATACAAGATAAGTAATACAAAGTTTAAGGCGAATCACATAGTAAATCACTGATCTGCATCGAGCAACCCTTCACTATCATATACGGATAATAGTTCTCGCATTACATTCTGGGTTGCTGGATTTCTGTAGCAGGCATTCTTGAAGTTGATTGCTCGCTGATCTGTTTTGATTAAAGCATTAAAGTCTGCATCGTCCGTTTCCACATTCCTCTGGATGGGAAAGATGCCCAAGCTGGTGTGCATAGCTGCAGATAAAAGCACATTAAAGGACGTCCAAGAGAAGTTCGCAAGTATTTAAGACTTACCATAGAAGGACTTCTCCTTCAGCTGCACGTGAAAGTTATGCAAGCTAGGAATATGTGCTTTGTAACGCAGCTTTCTGAGCGTATCCGAGAAAATCTTGAAATAGTGCTGAATAAGCTCCTCTTGATGGTGCAAATGCAAATCCAATTGTAGCGACGAGTTCAGGAAATAAAAGAGATCAATGGCCGGAGATCCCCAGACGGCGTACTGGAAGTCAATGATAATGGCATCCTCCGGCTCGGCAGTGGCTTCGTTGTACTTAACTAGAACATTATTGGTCCAGAGATCACCGTGGGCCAGCACATTGATCCCTGGGCAGACGTCGAACACCCGCTTGCCCAGTTCCATGTAGACGGGCACAAGATCGTTCAGTTTCTGGGCATAGTGCTCATAGCCCGGCCATTGGGCCACGCACTTGCTGGCGGCCTGTACCATGCCCTCAAATATGGGCGCATAGTTGTCCGTGTGCCGGTTGAACATGCCACGATCGTAGCTCTCCAGGACGCCGTTCTCGCGCTCATTCAGCACGGCGGAGGTGGCGTGCATCTTGGCCAGCTTGCGCAGCACGAGGCGAGCCAGATTGAGATCAAGGCCCACCAGGCGGTCGGGCATCACGTAGCCACGCTTGCTAAGATCATCGAAGACTAGAGCTGAGCGATCGTAGTCTACGGCCATCGTCTCAGCAAAGAGCTGCTCACTATCCCCGATCTCTAGTAGCAGAGCCTTCAGCTTGGGCAGAATCTGTTCATAAACGGACATTTCACGGTTGAATATGTCGTAGGGCTCCATGATTTTGCGTACGAACTCGTTGCTCTCGTATGTGGTCTTGATTATATAGTTTCCGATCTGGGAGTTGCCATCGCCGCTGACGAACTCCGCCGTAATGCGGGTCAAGACGCCGCCATAGTTTTCACCGCGCCCTAAGGCCGGACGACCGTCCAATGCGATGATCCTAAGGTTCGGGTCCCTGTAGAATTGGCGAAGGGCATCCTGCAGGTATCTCTGTGTTAACCACTCCGGCCCACCCGAAATCTGCGTGTCTGCCTCAGTGCGTGAGTTCATTGGCTTTGGAATGGCGTCCAATGTGCCTAACAGATCTGATACTGACATTTCGCTGAGCGACTTTCACTGATCTATCACAATCGAACCCCTTCCACAGCTGCTACTTGGAGACTGAGACTTTTTGTGCCAGACTTTCCCAGTCACAGGGCCTTTTATACATCACCTCGCAGCAGGTGTCGGCGGCGTACTCATGTCGCAATTGTGATTTATATCTGAGAGTGTGAGAGATGCTGGCTAAATATTTGCATATTATAAAGTATTTAGTATATTTGTAAATTTATACCTAGCGTGCTTACAGATTATATTTAGGCTTTATAAATTGTGCCAAGCCATCCCGCTCAGAGTCGCCCACGCTCTGTTGCTACTGCCCTCTAAGCGATATTTATACATATATAAACTTGACTTTAATTGGCTTAGCCTCATCGTAAGATAGCCAAAGTTGCATAAAACGGTTCTTGCTTGAATGTTGCCATGCGAACATATCACATATGTATGTGCCACAGGATAACTTTGAATAAATATTAAACAAATTCATTTTTACAAGAATCTTATTTTGTTAAAAAAAAAAAACACGTGGGAAGCGAATGGCCTTTTTATTTCTTTTATGATTCCCTATATTTATACAGTTACTGTGTCTGGGTAAATAGTCATAATAATTAATCAAGACGTAAAATCATACGTGCACAAAGTAGCCAACGAAATTTCAATCATTACACAATTTATGGTGAATGCTCAGTGACGTATTATAAGCTTACCAGAATTACAGGGGTAAATCAAAAGTGGATACTTGAATTTTGTTTATAATCAAATGTTTATTATTTGGAATACTTCACTTCACACTTTGAGCCAAGCTATGAATAAATTCTCGACTAAACTTACCTACATTTTTATTAGCTCACAGTCAGACCAAAACACGCATCTCCAAGCTTAAATAATATGTTGGCCATCAAAAAAGCCTTCGAAAAGAGCTCAAAGTTGCGGCTCTGTAACAAAGTAAATGACGAGTCAAAATCAGACCATCGTTAGCTACCAAAATAAGAAATGCAGGCCTAAATTAACAGCTGCAAATGCAAGCACAATTCAATCACGATTGCAATTCTATTTATAAATTAAACAAAACCAAAACACTTGGCGTTAATTACAGCCTGGTCTCGCCAATAGACCAATTGATTTCATAATAACTTCTGAGCAAATTAACCAGGCAGTGCATTGCATTGCATATTGCCTATATTTGCAACTGTAACTCAATTTTTCCAATTTTAATATAATTATTATTTTGACTATATGTGAAATTCTGTTACTCTGACCCTAAAAAGGAAAGGAAATTGGTCCTCGCTTGGTACAGAAGCGCCTGATAAAGAATATATATTTGGATATTTGGATATTATGGATCATGGTCATGTTTCCCTTAGGCGATTACATTTCCATGAAACCATTTTACCCAGAACACCCATATTCCATAGCATACAGTAGCATCAGGTTATAATGACTCATTTTATAGCGTTCATTCATCTTGGGATTCATTTTCGATGACTAGGATGGTCCCCACAAACATACATTAAAAGATCTCCGGTTGGATGTAACGTCTTTCTGGTATAACGAATCGTCGGTCCCTTAAGCGTCATTATACCTGGATTTTACTGTAGTACAATTGTATTACTACTATGTATTATTAATGTCTCTACTGTGCCTTCAATTTAAAGAGTGATATTCCCAGCCGTATATCACTTTAGATTGCGCAGGGTCTTAGATAAGTCGCCACACAATTACAGCCAGCAATTCGGCTGGCGCACGTCACAGACGCGCTTTTATAGGATAAGCAAGCCGTAGTAGCAGCAAAGCAAATGTTTGCTCGGATATAAAAGACTCGCGCACTGGCAGGGCAAGAGATAGTCGGGCTGCCTTAAGTAAATACAATTCAATTCTATTAAAAGGCAGCTTTCATCTCGTATAAAAGTCTGCGACCCGCTCAAGATGCAACACTAGCAACGGCATCTCAGATACAACACACTATGGCAGCGGCACCTGAGTGGTTGACGCACGATTACATCAGACATGCGTTGAGGGTGCACTACGAGGACGCCGAGCTGAAGATTGTGCAGCTCGACGTGAATCCGGCTCTGGGTCCGGGCGAGAACTACGGCGGGGTGCTCACCAGGGCGCGGGTGCGCTTCACACTCTCCCAGCAACCAGCAGAGGAGTTGCTTCAGAACCTGATAGTGAAAACCTCCATTGATGACGACGAGCTGTCCAAGGAGCTGATGGCTCCCTATGATATCTACAATCGGGAAATGAATATCTACGAGCAGGTGCTACCCAAGTTGAATGAGCTGCTCAAGGAGATCGACGAGTTCGAGCCGTTGTTTCCCACGGCCATCTTCGTGGATCGCGAGCGCATGGCCATCATCTTCGAGGATCTCAGCGTGGACAACTATGTGATGGCCGATCGGATTAAGCGCCTGGACAAAGAGCACGCCCACCTGATTCTGCGCAAGCTGGCCAAGATGCATGCCACCTCGGCTGTATTGAATGAGCGAAGCCGCGGCAGCCTGGAGGGATACGATCGCGGATTCTTCAATCGCTATACAAACGCCTACAGTGGATACTTTGTAGGCGGCCTGTTGGCCGCAGCGCGATGGATGAGCCAGGAGCCTGAGATCGCGCACTACGGGCAGAAACTCTTCGAGCTAGCCCCTCACTACATGGACATAGGTCGCAAGTGCTTTGCCCCGCTGAGCGACTCGGTGAACGTCCTGGCCCATGGAGATGTCTGGACCAACAATGTGATGATCAAATACGATGCAGACACGGCTCGGCCTGTGGATATTATCCTTATTGACTTCCAATACTCCTTTTGGGGATCGCCCACCATCGACTTGCACCATTTCTTCAATACATCGCTGAGGGAGCCCCTGCGGCGAGAGGAGCAGAGCTCTCTCATTGAGTTCTATCATCGCATCTTCAGAGATATTCTCAGAAAACTCAACTACAAAGCGAATCCCATTCCCAGTTTGCATCAGTTTCAACTGCAGGCCGAGCAAAAAAGATTTTTCGGTAAGCTGGCAAAGATTATCTCGATTACTTTATATTAATTCATTGTTTTCCTATAGCTTTGCACTCGGCTGTTGTCGTGCAGCCCGTCATGATCAGCGAGGACCCAACGGACGCCTGTTTCAATGCTCTCATGAACGACGATGAGCGTGCGACTCGATTTAAGAATCGGCTATATAACAACCCCATAGTGCAGCAGAATCTCAAGGCCCTGATGCCAGTTTTTGATAAAAAGGGCCTCCTGGAGATTAATCAGTGCTGTTAGACTGTACTAGAAATATAATGCGATTGTAGTGCAGCTTTACACTATTTCCATTGCCTGTAAGAATCCTATTTAGATAATTTCTAGTATATCCCTTGAGGTGCTCAAACTCATTAACTAGGATGTCAAGATTTTTGCCTTACCTGTGGACGATGTAATTCTTCCCGATCTTCCACATCATATATATTACTAAATATAAGAGACACATAATTTTTTAGCGAGGCGAGCGTATATAAAGTGTATTTCTAATATATACTCTATTTCCTGATTTGTCACAGCCCTAGTGATTGCATCGGTAAATAGCTTTAGTAGTAGTATATATACGTATATTATATTCCAAATATCTACTATAATCTCTACGAACTGATATTCAATATATTTTTTACTTCGTGGATAAAAACTTTATGATTTCCTTTATAATAATGTTTCCCATCTTTGTAAAATATTTTAATTTTTTAATAACTATTCCAATAGATATATAAACAAGTATGAAGGCTCCAGTCGAGAGTGCTCGACTAGGAGATACCCTAACCCTCCAAGCTGATATTCTAATCATTCTGGACTTCTTTTATGCACACATACATACACATGCACTTATAAGCACGCGCTCTGCTAACTGCGCAGTTAGCAGCGACAGCGCTTGGGCTGCGCTACAGTGTGGGCAATATTATGAGAATTTATTTGTTGAA